GAAGCTTTAGATATCGAAATGATGGCAATCATTAGACTAAGAATAGCAAATCATGATCAAATTCAAGAGCTAATAGATTCAATGATGAGAGACCATGTTTGTTTATTCTAAATACTTTACATTGTTCTTAGTCACCCCTTTTGTGCCTAAAGAAAAGGCAATCATCTGAACTATAAAAGCCAAGATGATTTTCTTGTGAATTTACCTACATCATGAACCGGGGAAGTGAAGAGTGATTGTGAAGGGGAAATACTTACGGCAAGGGATTTTGAGCCTTCATATCCTTCTTTTTAATAACTTAACCCAAAGCCACATTACAAGCCAATAAAAGTCCTTATCAAAGAATTTAACAGCTCTTAGTCTGATCATGAATTTCCTTCATAAAAAAAAAAAAATCATTTCTCTAACGAGTCCAAGCTACTTAGCTTGATGGTTTATGATTGGTCTTCTAAACATTGAAGGTTAGTTCATGGGAAGGAGGTAGATTGGATGCGTCCACCTTGGCAAGGAAGTAGACATTGTCTCATATGCTAAAGACTAGATTGGTGGAGTTGCAAAGAAATAAATTCTTGAAGCAAATACTTTATAGCCTGAATGCCTTCTAGCTTTGTTAAAATTGTTGCATCAAAAGTTGTACAATTCAAAAATCATGTTTATCTCTTTTTATCCATACATATTATCCATGCCCTAGCCTTCTTTTCCTTGTTTAGATTGGGAGGCTGATTGGTTATGATGCTTTATTTCAGTTAATATAATTGCTTTATTTAACTGAAATCTCTTGATAAATCTGAAAATGAGATGAGAGTTGCAGGGAAAAGCAAAAGCTTGATTCAATGGTTATGGTGCTTACCCTCTCTTGCAATGATTCGAGAATTTTCCCCAGTGAACTAGAGATTTTCTCAAGTCACTAAACTTTATGCAAAACATGTCATCAAGCCCATTAATGGATGCACAACACAGAGGACACTTGACTCTTGCAAAGTAAGGACATCCACCACATGTTCAGGGAAGTTTCTTAACCTCTCTTCATTTTCCATCATCTTTTATGTGAAAGTTATCTCACTTGCATTTGTTTCATGGTTGCGGATCTTTTAATCATTACTTTCACCCAGCCTTTTGGTTGCATTTTATACTGATATTCTACTCCTTTCAGTCATTCGACCATACTCATGCTCTACTGTTTCGGTCATTCGACCATACTGATACTTTACTGTTCCGATCATTCGACCATACTCATGCTCTACTGTTCTGGTCATTCAACCATACTCATGCTCTACTGTTCTGGTCATTCGACCATATTGATACTCTACTGTTTCGGTCATTCGACCATACTAATACTCTACTCCTTTCGGTCATTCGACCATACTGATACTCTACTCTTTTCGGTCATTCGACCATACTCATACTCTACTGTTCTGGTCATTTGACCATACTGATACTTTACTATTTCGGTTATTCGACCGTTGTAGTTATATAACCACCTCAATTCAACTTGCTCGGTCGTTTGACCGTGGCAACCCAACTTGCTCGGTCATTTGACCGTAGCTATTCCATGTGTTTGGTTATTTAACTATTGTGGTTATGTAATTGTCTACGATCACCTCTTACAATCACTTTCACAATCACAGTTTACAATCACCTTTTGACAATCACCTTTTGACAATCACTGTTTACAATCACCTTATTACAATTACTTTTTTACAGTCACTGTTTTCAATCACCATTTACAATCACCGTTTACCATTTACTTTACTTGTTTGGTCATTCGACCATTGCGGTTATAAAACCGTCTTTCACCATTTTTACTTTACTTTTTCGGTCATTCGACCGTTGCGGTTATAAAACCATTTTC